CTCTGCGTGTTCCCACTATCTGACACATATGACTTGCTCTTCCTGGAGTATTTCATGGAGCTGAAGGAAACCCTCATTCTCTCCACAGTCCGGCTGCTCCTGCACAGCAGAGTGTTCTTCACGTGGTTCCTGAAGTCCTCCGACACAAAGTAGTAGATAAACGGGTCCAGGCAGCTGTTGAGGCTTGCCAGGCATAATGTGGAGATGTAGAAGCCGTAACCATTGTTTATCACTCCATCTTTCAGTAGAGAGTAGTGCACCACCAGCATGATGTTACTGGGGACAAAACACACTAGGAATGTCACCAGGACGGTCACGATCAGCACCACGGCTCTCTGGCGGTTCTTTGCTGCTGAGCTGTCGTCCATGCTGTTCCCCAGAGCCCTGAGCAGCAGGACGTAGGCCACAATGATCACTATACAAGGGACGAGGAACACAACCAAACCCATGAAGATAAAGTAGTAGTAAGGAAGCTGCACATCAGGAAATGGATTGTTGGAGTCCCGTATGACGTTGACATCGTGGCAAGTGGTGATGTTGGGGTCTTTGAGTTTGGCGGTGTGGTCATACAGATACAGAGGCGTGCTGGTGAGCCAGATGAAAGCCCAGATGGCCACGCAAACCCCGACAGCCACTTTGTTGTTCTTCCTCTGCTGGGACAGAGGTTGAGCCACCACCCAGTACCTCTGCACGCTGAGGCAGGCGATGAAAAGGATCGAGCAATACATGTTCCCATAAAAGAAGCTCACAAGGACTTTGCACAGCGGCTCTCCGTAGATCCAGTCGTTGCCGTTGAAGTGGTATGCTATTTTTAAGGGGATCCAGATGACAAAGAGCAGGTCAGCCAGAGCCAGGTTGGCCATGTAGATGGAGGATGGGTGCTTCTTCTTGGTCCTGAAGAGGAACACCCAGATGGCCATGCCGTTGGCAGGAAGTCCCACCACAAACACGATGATGTAGACGATAGGGATGAAGACGGTGGTGAGATTACTCTTCAGTGTGTCAGATGTTGTGCGGTCCACAACTACTAGATCTGAGTTTTTAGGGTCCTTAAAACCGATAAACCCTCGTCCTTTACCTAAAATAACATGACAAAAATGAATACATATTAGGGCTGGATAGATTTTTGACTAATCAATTATTCCATCAGACAAAAATATGAATTGTGAGCCATCATTATAAAATCTACCATCTTACAAACTGGTTTAGGTTTGGGTTTAGAACAGCAACGGTTATTCAAGAATGTCACCATAGGCTCTGGATTTTTTTTTAATTATTTGCAGGCTACAAGATAACATTAATTATTGACAGTGTAATTCATAAACAAAATATCATCAATTGTAGCCGGGGTTGGTTGGCATATAGCTATTTACTGGGCTTTTGATGGTCACTGAAACCTAAATGCTTTCTTCATCTGCACTCATCTACTATGTTAAGAAATCTGAAAGTCACTAACTTTTTTGGCAAGATAAAGATTACAATGTTATGGTATCAAAAGTTTTTACAAACTGGTCTGTGGACTAAATATTACAAATTTGTGTTGGATCGAAATATTAGAAATACGTTACATACTGTATGGATAATAAAAGTAGGAATCAGCTGCATTTTGATATAATATTAGAAAGTCTGTGATGAGTGATGGTGGCTGCTATCTTAATGTCATCACAAAATTGGGTCAAAGGTGAGCAGGGTTGGCTGGCACCTGTGAACCAATGGCTGTGGTAAACATTACTACCAATAAACTGGTTAAATGTCGTTTGCTTTTAAAAAATGGACAGATGTTCAAGTTTTCTGGTTCTTGTTTGAATTAGTTGTTCACATAGTTTCTATTGGTTGCTTCATATTTCGTAACTGAAAGCATTAAAACGTATGTATTTATAGCTGAGACCTTCACTTTTCATTTGCTGGTGGTTAGAATATTCTAAAATAAATTATGCCAGAGAAGTAGGCCTATTTAAGGGAGTGAGAAGTTTCAACCAGCCCTGAACTCCACTACAGCTGAGAGGAAGTAAGATATTTTCTACTATTCTCACGAGGTTGGATACACAATATCTGCACCAATAAAATATAACATTAATAATTTCTGTTCATATAAATTATTCTCTTACGCCCTCATTTCCCGATACACCTGTCTGTTAGAGATAACCCCCACCCAATGTCAAAAACTCCAATTCCGTCAAAACTCCTCTCTAATTCTGAATAAATAATAATGAAGACAATGGCTTAATACATTAATCTCAATATACTTAAATATTAATAAAGTAAGTCTGTATTAATATACTCTCGAGATGAGACTAAAAATGTCTCATTGGTTCGGTTTTATGAGCTCACGAGCTCCTCAGACAATAAACAGAGGGACTTCCGGTCTTACCTGCGGCATTTGAGGCAGAAAAGCAGCAGAAAATTAGAAGCAGCGATAATAACCGAGTTAAATCCATGGCGGTGTACTTTACACGCTCTCAGCTTCACTGCGTTGTGACAGTCTGACTTTCACAACTCCTTAAATGTCGGACAACTCATACAACTACACCCTGGGAGGACACACCCCGAGACTACCTGTTTGGACGCTGTGTACGTCATCAGTGACCCGCCTACTTTGTTTAGCCTGTGGTGGTTTCTCCATCACAGGTTTCTGTGGAGCTCACTGAACCCACGAAGAAGAAAACAGAAAAGTAAACATCCATAGTGAATAAAATCTACCTCATAGATATTTTTTTCCTTGAAATCTAACCTTTGAGGTAAATCAGTTCTGTTATATATTGCATCAACAGACAGACTGCTTTCAACAGTTTCACAATTTCCTACAGCAGAATCATTTTGTTCCTCTTCATACGGTGATGTGCAGTCAAAACAAACAAAGACAGGTTGTGCTGTATTTCATATAAAAACTGCCTTACAAGTACAACCAGAGAGGTGACCTTACATCAGAGGAAGTGTTCCAGGTAAATATAGCTGATGCTGTTGACTTCTGGAAACTATTTTTTCACTTCTTCTCTGTACTTATTTTGAGTGGACAGATGTAGTTTTGTGTTTTCTATAATCCAGTTATAATTAAGTTAGTAATAATGTTTTTTTTACAATATTGCTGAATATGCAGATTATTTTCTTGAGCAACTGTTTGTTTTTTTGTTTGACATTACAAAATATTTGAAAGGGGCAGCACAGCGATGGAGTGGACAGCACCTTCGCCTCACAGCAAGAGGGTTCTGGGTTTGAACCTGGTCTTGGGACCCTTCTGTCTGGACTCTGTATGTTTTCAGTCAGTAATCAATGCAGATTCACTCTCAGTTGATGGACTTATCAGTTAATTATTTTAGCTTTATTTTCAACAATTCCTGACAGAACTCAAACAGTGCGACGTGATAGGTGTAAACAGATACAAACTGGGTTATAAATTGATTCAACAAATACATATTATTGGACTAAATATACTCACCCTGAATAACACACCCTAACTGGTAATTTCAAGATCATGTGATCTCTCTCCCTCCCTCACTGTGTCAAAACTGCCCTTGTCATGTAGGATGATCTGTTAATAATACAACACTGAAGCTAACAAGTACCCAGTGTAAACATGTATATGAGTATTTTTACTTCCGTAAGAGTCTGAACTGTTGCATTCTGTAATTTAGTATGTAATTCAGCAATTCAGAAACCAGTTTGTACAACACTCTTTACCTATTTTGTTGAGCCTAAATATAGAGGCATGAACTCTATGTTTAATACCTTGGAAAAAATGTTTCTCCTGCTTTCTTCAAAAAGTAAGAAAAGAAAATAAAAATACAAATTACATCCCATCCAATAGTGATTGCTAATTAGTCCTAAAGGCCTAATAAAACTTTTTTTCACTTTACAAGACCAAAAACTGAATCTATTCAGCAGAGGCAGTTTGCTGTTTAAGAAGAAGAAATACTTGATTGATCCGCAAGGGGAAATTCAATGTTTTTCACTCTGTTGTCATATACACACAGACCTGAAATACACAGAGGGACATGTCAGAGCGAGGTGGCTGAGCAGTTGGGGGTTTGGTGCCTTGCTTGGGGTCACCTTGGCAGTGCCCAGGAGTTGGCACCTCACCAGCTGCCAGTCCATGCCCCATGCTTGGTCCGTATGGGGACTTGAACCCAATGAAAATTAGTCATTCCTGACAATGAATGATGAAGAAAGTTGGAGAACAGTTAGATACAAAATTAGATGTAGGCTAATTTTCCCTGGGGGGGTGGGCCTTTGTTCCAGACCCCCTTAAGTTTTAGTTCGCACGAAATATTTACAGCCTCTGGTTCTGCCCCTGCTCTTTAGTTCATCTAAAACCATTTCATTAAAAAAAGTGATTTTTACCTTGATATAATTTGTTTCACAAAAGTAACGACATCAGTTCAGGAAATATTTTCTATTGTTTGGCAAAGAAAAATAAATTATGCCATTTACTGATACAATCATTTGCCATTAATCTATTATGGGGGATTAGATGGTGTTATACTCTGGCTTAGAATGCATCAGGACCTTTGGAAGACCAAAACAATAAACAATGAATTCACAGCAAAGGTTAAATATAAGGATTGTTTTGAAAATAAGGAACATGCAGTTTGACCTTTACAACTGCCTGCCTGACAATTAAGGCTGAGACAATGTCAGTAACCAAATACAAGGTTTCTGACAATTCAAGACTATTTAAGACATTTTTAATACCATAAAAAACTCAATATAATACCTGTTTCAGAGTCATACTGGACAAAGTATGATAGAAAAGCAGTGGAGATGATTAGGCCTACAATTATTTCTCATTACACTTTTTTTATCCAGTACTTTGCTGCTGTATAAAATGTATGCATCTGTTTTTATTTATGTTTTACACAGTGTCCCAACTTTTTGGAATTGGGGTTGTATTTCAGAATTTTATAAATTCAATTTAAGACTTTTTTTAATACCTTTTAAGACCTTTTTTGTAAGGAAATCGAGTTCAATGTTTTTTGAGACTTTTAGATCTGCAGACAGCGTGATAGGGGAGAAGTTGTACGTTTTCTTTATTGGCAAACTTTAAAATGTAGTCATACAAGTAAAAATGATAACTATAAAAACACACAAGATATACACATATTTCAAACTTATATCATACAACATGCTAAATCTAGGTCTCACTTCTTTGTGGTATGTTGATACGCTTACAAAAGAGTCATCTCAAAATAACAGCGTGGACTAAAAGATCAGACACGTAAAAAAAACACAGACCAAAGTTCAATCATTCATGGTCCAATGAAATGTAATAAAAACAGCAGAAGACTGCATTCAGCAAAGTGCACTGAATATCAGTTGTATTACCAAAACATATAAAAAAATAAAAATCTATTTACAAAATTTAAAAAGCAGTAACTTAGACAGCTTAAAGCTTCTAGGAGGACTACATTTCCTCACAGAGATGTAAGAAGTCACTGTGAGGAGTTATCTTACAACCTGAGATTTCAATGATGAAAAATTAGCTTAAACACCAAAAAAGCACTAGCACTCAGTGCTCCGCGTGTTCCCTGAATCAGACGTATATGCGCTGCTTTTCTTGGAGAACTTGAGAGCGCTGAAGGAGACCCTCATCCTCTCCACTGTCCGCTCACTCCTGCAGCGGAGAGTGTTTTTCACGTGATTCCTGAAGTCCTCAGAGATGAAGTAGTAAATGAAAGGGTCGAAACAGCTGTTAAGACTCGCTAAGCACAGGGTGGTGATGTAGAATCCATACAGGGTGTTGGTGGCGTCACCCAAAAGGAGGATGTAGTGCACCAGCAGCATAATATTACTGGGAGTGAAGCACACTAAAAACATCACCAGCACTGTGATGATCAAGACCACAGCTTTCTGTCGCCTCTTGGCGTTGGTGGGGTCCTCCATGTTGTTCCTGAGTGCCTTGAGCATAAGTACGTAAGATATGATGCACACGATGGTGGGGGCAACAAATCCCACAATTCCCATTGTCAGGAAGTAGCCCGCTGCTATTTTCTTCTGACTGGGCTTGGTGACATCATGGCAAGTGATGATGTTGAGTTCTCTTACCCGGACATCCTGTTCGTACAGGAAGAGAGGGATGGTGAGAAGCCAGACTACCACCCAGATTGTTATAGAGACAATGACAGCCAAGCGGTTATTCCTATGCCGCTGGGACAGCGGCTGTACCACGGCCCAGTAACGCTGAACACTTATACAGGCGATGAAGGAGATGGAGCAGTACATGTTGCCGTAGAAAAATGCCACCAGCACTTCGCACAACCCCTGTCCGTAGATCCAGTTGTTGCCGTTCAAGTGATACGCTATCTTCAAGGGGATCCAGATGACAAAGAGCAGGTCAGCCAGAGCCAGGTTGGCCATGTAGATGGAGGATGGATGCTTCTTCTTGGTCCTGAATAGGAACACCCAGACGGCCATGGCGTTGGTGGGCAGTGCCACAACAAACACAATGATGTAGATGATTGGGAGAAAGACGGTTGAAAGATGACTGCGTAGGAAGCGTTTGGCTTGGGAGCTGATCAACACCCCATCATTAGTCTCTGTAGAAGGGAAGCCTCTCGAATCTGTTTCAAATCATGAGATAAAAGCATATAAAAAAACAGAAGTACAACAGGCCTGAAATAGATGCAGAGACATACTACAAATTTATTTAAATGTGAAGCTCAGTCAAGGCTCATTTGTACTTCCTTTACATATGAAAATAGATACGCCTGTTTTATATGTTGTAAACGACAACGTCACTGCCCTTGTATTTCCATGTGTCCTTCATGATGGCATATAGCCAATAATGGCACTAGAGGGCGGAATCAAAAGATTCACACAACAACAACCACGGTGACAATGGAGGCGGTCACAATATTGTACCTTTTAACATTGGCAGGGGTGGTCTGTAAGCCACGACACACATCACCACATGGGGACAAGGAAGTCTTTTCATTGTATTATATATTTGTTCCGTTCCACCATTTTTTCAATGTCCATGTTGTCACTTTTGCATGTACCTCACTTGAACTACGTTACACTGCATCCACAATCTCTAGTGTTTTGTCTCTATCTTTAAGCTTTCAGAAAACAAATAAATGACGGAATGAATGCAGAGTACACACAGAAGGCTCCATGCATCTCTGCATCTAATGTTGAGGATTAATAAGCCCTAAGACTCAATTAGTGGCGAAAGAAGTATCCAGATCCTTAAGTAAAAGTACTAATACCAAAATGTAAAATTTACAGCCCAGTCACCGACAGAAAATGTTGTCATTGTACATTTATGTAAACCACAAACATGTTACATTTGTACATTTCATATGTATCACATCAATGTTGAAAATTGATGTAGTATATAAGCTGACTTCGTCTGCCCACAGCTTTTTTTCCAGCGGGAATTGTGCCCCCAAAACTGAGTATTTCAGCCAAAACATAATTTATTCCTAATTATAACCAAGTATACCAAGCATTATTAAAACATGGAGCTTTAATGTATCCACTTCATAATAACAAACAAATGTATAATATCCGTGGTTTGCAGAAATGTACAGTGCAAAATATATTAGACTGGATTGAAAATCTACTCCACTACAAGTAAAGGTCTTGCATTCAAAACCTTACTTATGTAAAAGTATATATCAATAAAATGCACTTAACAGCTGAATCAGTAATTCCAATGTTATTTCCATGGCTTAGAAAAGTTTAGTCAATGTTTGTGAACATGAGCTACTCTCTGTCAAAGCCAGAAACCAGAGAATTAAGTCTAATGCCTGATTTATGGTCCTGCGTTTAATCAACGACGTCGCTACGTCGTAGGGTACGTGGCTATGCAGGAGGCTCGCTGTAGCCCCCCGGCGTAGCCTGACATGCACCTCCCAAAAAATGTAACTACATGTCAAGGTGACGCAGACCCAGCGCAGACCAAGAGGACTGTGATTGGTTTGCTTGGTAGCAACGCATTTCCGGTTCCGTATTTCCAGATTGCGCCATCCCCGCCATCTTTTAACATCTTCTGTTGCGATGTAGATGTTGCAGTATTAAGGCCCATTTATGCTCAACGTTAAATACGGATACGGACCGATACGGATGGAGCCATCTGTCCGTGCTCCACGTTCATTTCTCTGTGACCGGAAAAGCCGGAAGCTAAATAAAGAATCAACTAGAGACGACGATAACCATTCAGGAAAGGAACGCAGCCCCCTACCGCTCTGGCGGTGAATTGCACCGCAACGAAATGGAGTGACGGAGAAGTTCAAAGGGTTCACGACGGCATCACGGCAACGACGTAGGTATGACGTCATTGCGTATAAATTCTGGAGCTGCTCCATAGACAATTAATGGGAGACTGATTTTGTGGACCCACAGAATGTTGTTTAATACCAAATGAACTTTTTCTACTGTAGTGTATTCAGTTCTGAAACAAATGTACCCATGTACTCAGAACATTCCCCTGGGTGCTCTCAAGGCCAAAACACACCGGCGGCAAACTCCACACTTCAAAAAATACACCCCTTTTATTTTCAATGCACAACCCCATACTGGCGGTGGCAAGACATGCCTTGGCACTCCTGGACGTGCCTCCTCACAGCCCTTTACGCCAATGTCCAATTTCCAGCCTCACTGCCCCCGGAATTGAATGCATATTTCCCCCACTCGCTATGTGCTTGAACATAGATTATCCTGTAGCAGCTCTTTTTCTCTGCTCCTATGGCAGCTCCTCCTCCTCCTCCTCCTCCTCCTCCTCTGCTCACCACCGATGTATGAAGAGAACTCTGAAGCTGTTGCTGTGTCTCATATGTGACAAAGAATGGACGAAGAGAGACTCACTGTTGAGGTCGAGAAATATCCCGAGCTAAACGCCCCAATCCCATCATTATAAAGACAATGACCAAAAGGATATTGACTGGCAAGTCATAGCTCTGGAGATCAGCTCTCCAGGTGAGAAACCTACTTTAATTACGGGCTTCCACACATGGTTTTAAGCTAATGCATAGGTGGAGGAAGTACACCCAACGCGTCCAACGTGCACTAATGGTGGCATGTGACGTGCGTCACGTGACACACGGCAGTACCAGTGTGTTTTCAGCTTCAGTGGGTGCGGTTACATGATGGCTTCTCATTCAGAATGAAATCAATCTGAATGAAATCATTTGGAATTTAAGTTTTTCCATGTAGTTTACATGGGAAATTTTCATTCCAAATGAGGGTTTACACGGGAGATCAGTTTAATCGCCTTTTAATCACCTTTATTCGGGTCCACGCAAGATTTGGGGCAGGGAAGGTTTCTCATTGGATAGGGGGCCGGGCGGATGTTACGTGTTTACGTTTACCGGAAGAACACTGTAGTCCTCATTCCGGATAACAAGATGCTTGATGATGCTGTTCTTAGTGCCTATTTCGGGCTTGTTTTGCTTATATTCTTGAAGCAGCAGTACGACAACAACCTTGTTCTGCTAATGCTTTGTTTGTTGATGAGGAGAAGAGAGGTAGAAGGTCAAAGAAGGGAGACAGAAGACTGTGCTTTGGCGAATGGAAACCGGTTAGTGCAACGACCGGTTCTGCCACCGCTAGGTAAATCTCAGAGTTTCTGTATTTCCGACCATCCAATTTTGTCATGATATTCAAGTCTTCTAATGTAGAAATTAAAAAAAATGTTTCCGCTGGGACCATCTCTTGTTTTTAGAAGCTGCCATTTTGTCGCGCGCGCTATATACGTCATCGCGCCAGAAGGGCAAGGAAACGAGCATGCGCAGAAAGACCAGAATTGACTTAAAGAGGAATGAATGTACAAGTGCGAGAAATTCTTTCATTCGGAATTAGAAACGGAATATTCCAGCCCCTTATATAGGAATGAATTTTCAATTGCATTGGACATTTTCATTCCGAATTAGGTGTTTACAAGATTATTTTTAATAGGAATGAACTTTCATTCCAAATGAAAAGGGAATTAAACTGTCCATGTAAACCCACTCAGTGTCATCTAGAACATCTTCCATCATTCATTACATGCGTTTACATGGAGCCATGTATTCCTTTTGCATTCGGGTTGGAAGCCCTACCCGAATAGAAATGCTCCTTGTAAACACCTCAATCCGAATGAAAACAGCCAGCCCGAAAGAAAATCAAATCGGGTGCACAGGGGTGGAATATTCCTTTTCGGAACCCGAATGGAAGAATTTTTCTGTCTTGTATACACCTCCTACCCGATTCCAGCCATTTCATTCATTCTGCGCATGCTCGTTTCCTTGCCCTTCTGGCGCGATGACATATACAGCGTGCATAGCAACGGGCTGCATAGCAACGGGCTGAGATAGAGCAGTCGGACTCGTTGCACTCACCGGTTTCCATTCACCACAGCACGGTCCTCTATCTCCCTTCTTCGATCTTCTACCTCTCTTCTCCTCCTCAACAAACGAAGCATTAGCAGAACAAGGTTGTTGTCGTACTGCTGCTTCAAGAATATAAGCAAAACAAGCCCGAAAAAGGCACTAAGAACGGCGTCATCAGCCATCTTGTTATCCGGAGTGAGGACTACAGTGTTTTCTTCCGGTACACATAACATCAGCCCCGCCCCCTATCCAATCAGAAACCTTCCCTGCCCCAAACAAAGGCGATTAAACTGATCTCCCATGTAAACCCTCATTTGGAATGAATATTTCTCATGTAAACTACCTGGAAAACCTTTAATTCTGAATGATTTCATTCAGATTGATTTCATTCTGAATGAGAAGTCATCTTGTAACCACACCCATGGAGCAGTTTCAGACTTTATACCCAATGACATAACAAATTTGACTTTTAGTGCTCTAGTTTAAGAGGGTTGTTCATTTTTACTAATATATTTGGACTGTCTTCGACCATAGGAATAAAATGGATGACTTTTGAAAATGGGTGAAGTTCCCCTTTAAGGTATGAAAAGTAAAACTGTTCATTGTGCAGTAAAATGTTCCCTGTTTGTATTTTAAAGACTGATTTTAAGCATAAGGCCATAGAGGACACATAAAGGAACACCCGAACCTTCAGTACCTTACAAACATTAAAACTAGACACAACTGGAGATACATGATTTTCACTGGACAGGGAGGGGATGAAAAAAATGTAAAACTGTAATCTGAAATGTAGTGGAGTAAAAAGTGAGTATTTCCCTCTGAAATGTAGTAAAGTTTAAGTATAAAGTTGCATAAAATGTAAGCAAACTACCTCAATTTTGTATTTAAGTAATCTACAGTAGTTAAGTAAATGTACTTTGTTAGGTTACCTTCTACAACATTTACTTTCGGCTGGGAGCACCTGTTCTCTACTTACAAACAGGCCTCTGAGCATGACTCATCTGCATTACAACTATCTACTTTACATATAACTTTATTACAGTGTGATCAAACTTCTTCTGACAGACTAATCCCCCCTATAAGGACCTAAATATCAAACATTCAGGGCCTACATTCGACGTAAAGCTCTTTATGGATCCATGTCATGCGTGAGCGGAAAGTTAAGACAATAAAAACAACAGATAGATATAAACAACTGAAACTTTACCTTGTTCACACAGGCAGCTCTGCACGCAACACAAAAATAGGAACAAGTGAACCCATGGCGTCTTCAGAGTCATGACTGCAGAGAGTAAAATGCAGTAGTGTCCGCGGGTGTGGCTGTGCTCCTCTGTGTCGATGTTAAACTGACATGCCCTCTTCATACAGACGTTATAGACACCTGCGTGATGTCATCGCGACTCAGTCACGTGACGTACCGAGACAAGTCAGGTGCCTGTGCTGTTGTTGAGAGTTTGCCTGGAGGGCTTTGAGTCAGAGACGGATAGGCAAAGGTTAGGAAAAATTAATCTTGGCTGGAGTTAAAATTAATGTATTTCTTAAAGAAAGCACTGAAGACAAACTTCTCCCTTGTGTTAACTGGAGCGGATGTTTCTGTAGGACGGGCGGAAACAGTTAAAAGCCCGACAGTCTATGGTTAAAGGTGAACTGCACCTCAAGAAAAAAAAAAAAAAAAGGTGAACTGCACCTGTGTACAAGATCAGGTGGTTTCCAGGAAGTCATACAGGAAGTCACAGAAATATTTTAAGAACAAAGTCAATTTATCGTAAAATTAAAAAGATACTTGAATATAAGTTTCGCATGAGCAGTATAATGATGCATAAACCAACACACTGTTGGGAGACATAAACTGGTAGATTATAGTGGGCATGGGCATTCCTAGGATTTGAGGACACTGGGGGGCTTAGCCCGGACCTCTGGGGGGGGTCCCAGGGGATCCTCTCCTGGGAATTTTTTTAAACAAGCTCTATTTCATGCTTTTTAAGCTCTCTAGCATTTTATTACCCTTAAAAACTTTTTTTTTTTCAATTTTATTTTCCAGATTGATCATGAATTGTAATGTAAAATATTAGCCTAGTATTTGTTAGTAATTAGTATTGAGTAGAAACAGAATACTTTGCAACAGCTATCATTAAAATGTAGAGAATTTTGAGGTACTTGTACAGGAGTATTTCCATTCTATGCTACTTTATTTTTACAGTCTATGCTTTATACTTATACTTCTTTACATCTCAGAGGAATATATATAGTCTACTTTTTATTCGACTACATTTATTTGTCTGCTTTATGACAGTTTCAGACTACACAACAGTTTTGTACTTTCTAACAGTCACTATGTCAGATTAGGCGATTGTGGAGTCTTGAATCTTGCCGTGACTTGGCCAACAGACATGACACACTAACGTCATACGTCATACCTGGTCGACTTTCACTACGTGCGTGATGTCATCAGATTATTCTTGTACTATTTTTATTATCATTACTATTGTTTCAGTCACTGTGGCTGTTCATGTGCCAGCCAAAATGTTGTTGTAGTAATATGAAATAGTGCCACCTGATCATAGTCGTAGGATTGGGTAGGGACGGTAGGGACACGTCCCTACCAATATTCAGCCCCTTCTGTATTGTCCCTACCAATATAAACACTGGCTGTCGGCGTCCGCTCAATATGGTACACAAAGGCTTAACAATCGGTGGTGTCTACCATACGTCCCACCTCTAACCTCGTATTGCTCATCAATTGGCTCTACTGTTATTTTGGTAACGTGTGATTGGTCCTCCCCAGCGCCGCTCTCTTTACTGACTTTGTGTGTGCACGTCACCGTACAGTTCACGGCAGTTCGTGAGGGAACGACACATACATGCGCGTCACCGTTAGCGCTCCACAGCGGAGCGCTGAGTGTGAACGGTGAGTCAGTTGGTTCAGTAAATAAGCTAAAAAAAATAGTATTTTCTGCCAACACCTGTTGATGTTAGGCTAACTGAATGGCGTTCCTTGGCAACTCTTTGCTAGATAATGAGATGCTAATGAGCTAATACTAGCTGAGCTAAGTTTGGCAACTATTAGATCAATATTATATGCCAGAGAACATGAAATTCCACTTCACATGCTCCATCAGCAATCATAGATGTCATGTAGTGATGACACAGTTCAAATTAATGTTTGTAGTAAGATGACATGATATAAACAGTCTGAATAAATAAAGTGTAAACACTATAAATAATAGCTCCTTCAGTGACAGTCTTCAGCATCCATGGTGTGTGAAGGAGAGACTTAGGAGAACAGAGATCCACTGCTCCCAGTAAAAACACCAAAACTGAGTCATATTCATATAATAGATATTGGGTGTAAGTGCAACATTTTGCACACAGTTGTATTATAATGATTTTGGAGCATTTACATTTTTGTTGATTGATTTTATTTATGTTTAACACGATTAAGCTGACTAACCTGTGTTGACATTATGGCTGTTCTTTAGCCTATATATATTCAGATGTTGTTTAATAAATTACACAATTGTAAAACATACAGTATGACTGTTGCATCTCAAATTGTCCCACTGTTCACATGTCTTGCATCAATATATTTTTTGTCAGATGACAAGTAGTAGAGAGACTGGAGGAGATGGAGGAGGAGAGGCAGGAAGAGAGACAGGGGGAGATAGAGGAGAGACAGGAGCCTCACAGGTGAGATTGAATCGTGAAGGATGTTGATAGTGAGATTCAGCATTGTGATTCATGCATAATATATGTTTTTACCCAATATCAATATCAATTCGGATCACTATTATCAACCCAACTGCAGACTGCAGGCTGGTACTGAAGTTAAGCCCCTTCGGAGTATACTGTTATTGTTATTATTATAGTTTACCTAGTTTACCCTGGGAAGCACATACGGACAGATGTGGTGAAGTTATCAGTGTATATTCATGTAACTGATAACATTAGAAAATACATTAACTGAGACATTCTTGTATTTAGTGTAGATATCTAAATATGCATTATAAAGCAGTGATCAGTTTCACATGACGTGAAATTGCATTAAAAAATCATCAACGTACAGGTCGCCGCCATGGAGCACTTTTATGTCCCTACCAATGTGAAAATCAAACCTTGCACCTGATGGCAGGAGCCTCATTTGAAGCACCACATGCAAACTATGCAAGTCACTGAATCCTGCAAATGTTTCACAATAAAAGCCTTTTTAGAAAATAAAAGGATTCTCTCAACCAAAATTATAAGGGACTTTTAATTTTAAATGGATAAAAGACATGTTGAGTTTGAAATGACTGCGTGATGCATTAACTTAAACAGGGCAAACGAGAGTGAAATAAAAACTAAAAATGGAAGAAGAAGAAATAAATGGCTGTGTCAAATGTAGTCTGTTTCAAATGAAGTTGGTACCCTCTGCACTTGTGGTAAGTAAAAGCCCCGCCACTATTTATGAATTTATTCCCTTCTCTATTATGAAGAAATAAAATTCTTTGCTAGCTTGATGCTAATGGCAGTACTCAGCGGGTTGCTAAAGTGCATCCGCTGTTTCACGCCATCATTTTCTTCTTTTTTATGCTGTGTGATAACGTCCATAGAGGAAATGTCAAAAAGCCTGGGCTGTTGTTGCCATACAATTGTCCACAGCAGATCGCTCTTTGCTCCTATTGGTCAAAGTGACGGCTGTCACGGGAGAAGTTATGGAAGACAAAAAGAAAAACATCATAGACCTTCTGTTGGGATGTTGTGAGGAAAAGGTGAAGCTTTACCTTTATTAGCTGCAGTGTTAAAGTGATGAACACATAATTCATCAACAATAATAATAATCCAGTAATATAATATACATGATTCTGAAATTGGCCATCCTGCATAATGGGTACTTTTACTTTCAGTATTTTAAGTATACTTTGATGCTAATGCTTTTGTGCTTTTACCCAAGTAAGGTTTTAAATGCAGGACTTTTACTTGTAACAGTATTTTTACACTGTATTATTGCTGCCTTACCGTAAGTAAAAGATCTGAGCACCGAGTTTCGAAGACATGTTTGCCTCATTTATGAAACACAAGCATTAAACGGATCAAAAGGGATATTTCCTAAAGTATGATATGATTGAGATCATGCCTGGGCCTATTTCTGTTTTCCCTTACAGTACCTGTGACCTAATGAAGAATGCAGAACAGAAGCTACTTCACAGCTGTACAAATATGCACAAGGGTTAGTGTGTAGCCTTTGTTATGTGGTAGACTATACTAAGTGCAGTGTTTAAGTTTGGCTACTGTGTGGTTGCTGAATCGAGTCTTCCTTCACTACTTCTGTTTGTCTAAGCTGCTGATGGCAATGTCAAACAGTCTTTCATGATCATGATCATACAGGCTTACTTGTTATGGTGGGCTGGTTTAGAAATTTGATCTTGCTGGTCTACCTGCAAAACCTGTATTTGTAATGGCCCCTGATTCAAGTCCAGCTGAGGGTCCTTTGTTACATATCTTAACATATTCTATATAATAAACAATTAAAATGCTTAAAAACTACGGGTACTTTGTTGCCATAGGCTTTACTTCCTCATTGTGTTGGGTCCCACAGACCCCACTGCTGTATGTGTACGAATAATAATGATAACAGCAAAAGCTACCATTTCTTTTTCTTCTGACCTTAAAAGTTCTAAAGTGGTAACTCTTCACTTTGCTATAAACTTAAACATTTAATCATGGAGGAATCATGGATCACCAGGAAGAGATACAAAATGACCAAAAAATAAAAAGAATGACCTCAAATAGACAAAAAGTTACGTAAAAACTACAAATACCCCATTTCCACCAAAATTAGTGTGTGTTCAAATACGGATAAACCTGCTAAAAATGAGCTATACACTCCTTTACCATTGCCAGTAGACCAGAGCTGAGTACATGGCTTGGTGTGTCACTTTTGCCGATACAGACAGGCCCAAGAACAGGAAAACAGTAGAGAGGAGACCTCTGAAAAATTGACAGTGGTTTTGTATTTTTATACTTAGTCTTCTTGTCATTGCATCTTGCCAGTAAAGGAGTTTAAATTAGCGTGTTCATCAGTGTGTTTTGTTCCCAAAACTGCCGATCAGAGCTGGAGGCGATAAATAACCATCACTACTGCAGAGGCATTGCATTTAAAAGCCAGATGTTAGTGACTGTTAGCGGGACTTTGTGCAGTGGGAAAGGGGCTCAAAAGATGCAAAACCACCACAAAGTCTGTGTCTTTCTCCTATATGGGAGAGGTGGTGGGGCCACTGGCGCCTACCCCTATAGGCAACACTTTTTTCAACTCTTTTTAAGTTAAAACGTTGTTGCATAATATTAAATTGAATATTTTCAATATAAAATGTA